AAACTCAGATAAAGGAGGAGGGTTTATTTTTATTTTTTTAAATAAAAATATTTTAGAAAATGTATATTTATTATTTTAAAAAATATAAATATTTTGGAAAATGTATATTTTTTAAAAAAATAGAAAATGTGCACATATATATTTTTAAAATTTAAAATTTCGTTGTAGACTTGTAGTAGCGTAAAAAAAAAAAAATTTAAAAAGGGGCGAGCCGAGCCGCTTGCCTTGGGCGAGCTCGGGCACGAGCCGAGCTCGCCCAAATGGCAACGAGCCAGCTCAAGCTCGGCTCGTTGCCAATGAGCCACGAGCTCGGCTCGTGCGAGCAGGAGCCGAGCTCGTGCGACAATGGGCCGAGCCGAGCAGGCTCGGCCCATTGACACCACTAGATCGTTGGCTCGCTACTGCGGCTCGGCCCATTGACACCACTAGATCGTTGGCTCGCCTCAGTAGCAAGTTAAGCATTGAATTTCTCGTGTGAGACAGCTCACCAATGGCTTGTGAGCCAGCTCGTCAAAATTAATGAAAAATGTAATTTCATTAATTGGAGAGCTTGCGAGTCAACTTGCGTAGTTGGCCTAGCCAAGTCTGGCGGCTTGTCTTGGTCCATTTATCACCCCTATACAGTAAAGCTTCACATATACCCAGGCTTTCTTAGTCATATAATCGTATTGACCTTTTGCAAACTGAGACAAGGAAGAACTGAAATAAAAATTCTGAATTATTTCAAGAGTTACGGAAACAAATTTATCTCGCAAAGTGTTGTTGGTGTGAATTCATTGAAAAGTTTAAGGTCAACAAGCACAAAAATCAAAGGTCAGCTCGGTTGACCAAGGAATTGAAGTCGCGAAAATGATAACGAGCTATCAAAACTTTGTGCACCCGAGCGGAATGTGGAAGAAGTTTAGGACATGGTTGGAACAGGTTGACCTTTGGCTTGGTTATACATATGGAGACATCATCAAATACTTGAAAATTATTTAAGCAATATGAGATAGAATATAAAATGTGTTAATATAGAGCTTATTTTA